TGGGACCCCCAAAAATGGGATTAGGACCCCCAAAAATGGGAACGGGACCCCAAAAAAGGAATTGGGACCCCAAAAATGGGAAAGGGACCCCCAAAAATGGGATTGGGACCCCCAAAAATGGGAATGGGACCCCAAAAAAGGAATTGGGACCCCAAAAATGGGAAAGGGACCCCCAAAAATGGGATTGGGACCCCCAAAAATGGGAATGGGACCCCAAAAAAGGGGAAAGGGACCCCCAAAAATGGGAATGGGACCCCAAAAAGGGAAAGGGACCCCAAAAATGGGAACGGGACCCCAAAAATGGGAAAGGGACCCCCAAAAATGGGAATGGGACCCCCAAAAATGGGAAAGGGACCCCCAAAATGGGAACGGGACACCCAAAAATGGGAAAGGGACCCCCAAAAGGGGAAAGGGACCCCCAAAATTGGAAAGGGACCCCCAGAAATGGGAATGGGACCCCAAAAAATGGGATTGGGGCCCCCAAAAATGGGAATGGGACCCCCAAAAAGGGGAAAGGGACCCCCAAAAGGGGAAAGGGACCCCCAAAAGGGGAAAGGGACCCCCAAAAGGGGAAAGGGACCCCCAAAAGGGGAAAGGGACCCCCAAAAGGGGAAAGGGACCCCCAAAAGGGGAAAGGGACCCCCAAAAGGGGAAAGGGACCCCCAAAAGGGGAAAGGGACCCCCAAAAGGGGAAAGGGACCCCCAAAAGGGGAAAGGGACCCCCAAAAGGGGAAAGGGACCCCCAAAAGGGGAAAGGGACCCCCAAAAGGGGAAAGGGACCCCCAAAAGGGGAAAGGGACCCCCAAAAGGGGAAAGGGACCCCCAAAAGGGGAAAGGGACCCCCAAAAGGGGAAAGGGACCCCCAAAAGGGGAAAGGGACCCCCAAAAGGGGAAAGGGACCCCAAAAATGGGAAAGGGACCCCCCAAAAACGGCCCCAAAACTGGAATCGAGACCCCCAAAAAAGGAATCAGGACCCCCAAAACATCCCCAAAACCGGGACCCCGACCCAAATCTGAGAGCGGGGACCCCAAAAAGGGAACCGGGACCCCAAAATTGAGATGGGGACCCCAAATCCGAGACTGGGACCCCCAAAACGGCCCCAAAACCGGGACCGGGACCCCCGGAACTGCCCCAAAATTGAGACTGAGACCCCAAAATCGAGCCCGGGACCCCCAAAACCGAGCCCGGGACCCCCAAAACCGAGCCCGGGACCCCCAAAACCGAGCCCGGGACCCCCAAAACCGAGCCCGGGACCCCCAAAACCGAGCCCGGGACCCCCAAAACCGAGCCCGGGACCCCCAAAACCGAGCCCGGGACCCCCAAAACCGAGCCCGGGACCCCCAAAACCGAGCCCGGGACCCCCAAAACCGAGCCCGGGACCCCCAAAACCGAGCCCGGGACCCCCAAAACCGAGCCCGGGACCCCCAAAACCGAGCCCGGGACCCCCAAAACCGAGCCCGGGATCCCCAAAACCGCCCCAAATTCGGGACCGGGACCCCCGGAAGGAGCCGGAACCCCAAAATTCGAGGCCCCTCCCCCCAAAAACTCCGACACCCCTCCCCCAAAATCC